GACCATAGCCTTTTTAACCAATATTCAGTGATTTTCGAGTTCACATCAGACTTTTATCAGAAAAACAAATACAGCTTTGAAATCAGTGCAAAAAATTGAGTCAATTTGGCAAATTACATTTTTCAGGTTTTAGAGTCAGAGAATTATAATTTATGTATTAGCATCAAAAATGAAAGTTATCAAATTGACTCGAAAAATATTTTCTTTGATTCAGTTTTTTTTTATGTTGATTTCGAATCTGTTATTTGAATTTCGGAGAAAAAGTTTAATTTAAATTCGACAATCATTGAATACTCGCCAAAAAATTCTATGGTTCTTATACGAATAAGATTTCTCAGCAAGAGAACAAAATAAAAAGAAAAGTGATGCGTACTTTTCTGATGAATCTAACGAGATATAATGTCTGGTACCCTCGCTTAACCAAAAATACTAGATAGATTTATAAAAACAACCTATAGGTATTGCAGTGAGCACAACTCGAAGCGCGACTATCAAAAGACTTTTAGATTTAAAATTGGTTTAATAGAGCCTCCATTAACAATAAGAATTAGGTTTTTTTGTGATTAATAGTTTACGCTCTATCACCCATGTGTAGAAAAAAAGACAAAAACAAATTTACTAGAAGTCCGAATCGCCCACACCTTAACTATAATGTCGCGAAAATTTCAATTCAAACGAATGATTCGTTCGTAGAAAAAGGAGTGGCTTTTGAAAATTCAATATCTCGTAAAGGAAACATTCTTTTGAACTGAAATTTTTAGAACATTCTAGTTACAAATACGCCTATTTGTGGACAAAATTTCAGGTCAGTATATTTTCATTCAATTCCTTTGTATATATAGTGTTATAGATTAAAATTTTAGTTAATATGCTATAACTTTGTAGGAAGGCTTAGGGGCTCTTATCATTTTAAAGTTTTCAACATCTCATGGGAATGTAACTTATACATAGAATTCAAATTTAAAAGCGATTTTTTAATTAGAAAGATTTCTTCATGAGAACCATCGTTTCTATTGTGATTGATATATTCTTCTATCTGTAATTTCTTGCTTATTTCTGATGTGATTATTTTGTTCCTCTTTCTTAAATTCATTTCCGTTATTTTTGTCTTGTATTATAAAGAAAATACAAAAAAAAAATTAAAACATACTTTAAATGTAAATTTATTTGAACTCATTACTTCAATAATATTAAATGAACTCCATGATATATCATAACCAAGCATTTGAAGCTTAAACAAAAGAAAAAAAAAATTTTTCATAAAATTATTTTTCTATATGTACAAATTTCATACATAAGTTAATTTATTAACAGCATTTGCTTTAATTGCCATATTATCTTGTTTAAGTTCTTGTTTTATTTCATCAATAGCTTCATTAATATATTTCGCCTTAAATATTCATATGAAATTAATTTAGATATCAAATAAAAAAAACAACAACATTGAAATAAATATCTTACTTCATTATCTTTATGATTTCGAATTCCTCGTACAAGATCATGTAAACTTTTATCAAACATTGGTCCAAAACTATCTTTTGCTTTTTTTACTACTTGGTCCATTGTTGTCGACATTGTTATATTTACATAAAATAAATGAAGAAGAAACAAATTTCTTCCTTCAAGATAGTTCATCAACCATTGATCATTGTCATTTTCCTTTCTCATATTTTTATGATAGATGTCATACGATTTCATTCATTCACTTTTTCTTTCCTAAATGATTATATTTCTTCGTTCCATATTTTAGTTTAGATCTGTTCGGTTATAAAAAAAAAAAGAAAACAACAACTCACAATGGAAGCAGAAAACCTTGAATTGTTTCCACCATATATGATTTCACAAACTGTACA